TTTTTCTTTCTTCTGTTTTATCTTGCATATCTCTAATTTCTCTCTTTCCTTTTATTCTAGTCTACTTTTAACTATTCTTATTAATTTTTATTATTTTATTTAGTTTTTCTCTTTTCTCTCATTTTTTTCCATTTTACTTTTCCTAGTTACCTCCTGGTTCATAGGTCAACACTCAACCAATGAGCCACACTGGCCAGCAGGGATGTCCACTTTCAACACTTCTATTCAACATAGTTTGGAAGTCCCAGCCACAGACATTGGTTAATGAAATTACATGGGTTTCAAATGTGCAATTCCATGGTACATCATCTGTATATTGCATTGTGTACCCACCACCCAAAGTCAAATCTTCTTTTGTCACCATATATTTAACCCCTTTGACCTTTTACTAACTCCCACCTTGTCCCTCTGGTAACGATCATGCTGGAGGATTGTGAAAATTAATAGTTGTTCTCTCTTACCTCTTCTCTCCCTCCTTGCAGGGCAAAGACCTGATAGCTATTCTCTCTTCTCCTGGAGAAGTGCCTCATTGGCAGCACCCAGCTAGCTCCATCCCCTCCTCTCCTCTCTTGACTCTTTCTCCCTTTTTCTCCCTTCCTCTCTCTCTAAAATAAATAAATGATAATAAATTTTTAAAAGTGCATTTGTAATAATAAAGGGTGTTTCCCTATGGATCCATCCTTCTCCTTCACCAGTGAGCGGGAAGCAGCCAATTCATGAAACCTAAATTGTAAAACTTAGATAATGGAAAATGAGAAACTTGAGAATCATAGCCTGCTGTGAAATTTGCAAGGTTCAGAGGACCAAATTTACCCCTCTCTTTTTCTCAATCATTGGTCCTTCAAGTGTGGCAAGTTTTCTTTTCTTGGGGGGAGAAAGATGTGTGTAGCATTTAGTTCAAGAAACACAAAACCAAGGCTAATGTGTATGAATGTTCAGATTGTGCACTGATTGAGGATGTCACTTCTAAGGGAGCACATACTGACTTATTTGAGAGTAAGAAGGTGATTCTGAGACTCTTAGCATGGTCTTACAGTAGACCCCAGATCCATCAGAGAGAGCCAAACCTTCAGAAATTCATAGCAAGTGAATTCATGCATACACTCAGAAGAAGATGCAATCATATACTTGCATGCACACACACTTGTATATGGCTGTGCCATGACCAAACTTCTCCCAGCATTCACTGAAGTGTTTTTCTCCCACACCCAGTTCACTGAGAGTCCTGATTCCTGTTCCCCAGTCTCACTCTGATCAGATCCCACCTCATAAGGGATCTGATCAATGCCCTGGTATTTGCAGTGTGCATGAATGAACAAGAGTATGTAGTGAAGCCAGTTCAGCTGCCGGCCAGGGCTCTGGAAAAATCCTTGGACAGAGCTGTTCATATTGTATAATGATATACTAAGTTGTCATTTTTTACTTAAGAGAAAGGAGTGCTCTTTAAGAATCTACCCAAAGGACAGTGGGCTATGTATAGCCATCCCTGCACAGATCTGTGTCCGAGTACTTGCTGAGCACTTATTGTGTTCTGTGGGGTCTCAGATAGAGACTTAAACTTTCTGATCCTCAGCTGTGTCACCTGTAAAATGGGTATGAACACAGTTCCCTTCCCATAGGTTTGTGAGCATTAAGGGAGGTGAGTGTGTAACGCTTTTAGCACAGAGCTGACACCAAATACTTGCTCAATAAATAATAGCTGTTCCTATTATTATTATCATCATTCACGGTATAGTGTAAGGTTTCGCTTTATCTCACCCCAACTCTGAAGGATCTATCTCTAGCACGGTGGACAGATAGCCCGTCTGTTTCTTCTTACTCTCTAATCCACCTTGCACCTTCTTTTCCTCCACCCCACCCCCATCCTTAGCACCGCCCCTCCAGGCCCCGCCCTCCCATTTGCTCCTCCCACTAGCCCTGCCCTGTGGCAGCTCTAGCTCAGCGTGGCAGGAAGCTCATGGTGTAGTTTCGTGGGATGGTGGCAAAGCCCACATGTTTCGGGGACACGTCGATATCCTTGGGTGACTGCGGGGACTTGAAGCGGAAGTTCTGCATGATGGTGGTGAGTAAGAGAAAGAGCTCCATTCTAGCCAGGCCTTCTCCAAAACAGTACCGCTTTCCTGGCAAGATAGGGTGGGAAGGGCGGAGGTGAGGCCTACTCTCACTGCCACCTCTTCCCTCTCCCGATCTCCAGCTGCATTCTCCCCGGGGAGGAGGGGACGGAATACCGTGGCCTGTAGACTTTCAGAGAAGTCTCTAATCCTGTCTGAGCCTCAGTTTCCCTTGTACATGGGATGGGGGTGAGCCATAGTAGGCTGTAGCAATGGGAATTTTAAACGACCCTTCCCCCTAAACATACACGTATGGCTGCTGTGCTATCATCTCCTTAGGCGTCTGAAGAATTCAAGTGACCTTGGGCAAATCTCTGACTCACTCTGGGTCTTGATTTTTCCCATCTCTGAAGTAGGTACTATCACCCCTTTCCTTTTGCCTGAGTTTTTGTAGGTGTTAGTTAAGAGGGTTACAGTTGGTTGGCTGCAGGGTAGATAATAAGAGGGACTTGCAAACTGGAGAAAGCTACTAGGCTACATCTCAGAGAGGGGAGCTGGGATGAAGGAGGGCCCTGTTGGTGTGACGGGTGGCTTGCTAACAGACGTGGTCTCTTACCAATGGTAGCATGGCACAAAAGCATCGTTCTTCTTAAATTGCCCTTT